TTTGAGACCACGGGCTCCCAATCTTTCTTTTTTAGAGCTAATATGAGAAACAACAACAACAACAACAACAACAACAACAACACCGGAATATCAAGTATTTCTGTACTCTGAATAGTGCCGATGCCCGGTATAGTGCCGCTTTGCTCTCTGAACACATACCAGCACTATAGAGGGCCCCCTACGGTAACACTCGGGCTAACGTGACGGTTCTTGCCTTGTTTCCCAAAGAGTTGTCTTCTTGTCCCGGAGCGGTGTGGCCCTCCATCTCTGGACTCTCTCCTTTCCTCTCTCTGGGGAATACCCCCACGGCGTGCGGCCACTCCGCCACCCTCACCGTGCTCTCTGCTGCTGCATAGCCCCGATGTCCAAGCCGGGGCGTCAGGATCCAGTCTCATCTTGCAGCTACCAAAGCTGGCGGCTCAGGAGCTACCCTGATCTCACGACAGCAGTAACTCCCAACCGCTATACTCAGGATCCCCCGCTAATCAGTGCCAGGGACCGTATATTCGTCGTTGCTGGGTGGTCTTTCGAGGTCTAGATCCACTTGCGGAACCTCGGCCTACCCCAGGGACGGGGGGGCAGGCCGGGGAGGAGGAGGCGGATGGCTGGACTACTGCTGTACACGGCTCGGCGACTGGCTATTGTGAAGTGTACGAGAATCGTAAGCCGCCCACCATTGCCCTTGATGAGTTGTTTCCATTCTTCCCTGCTCGTTGGAATGGTCGGTGCGGTTTGTGGAACTGGTAACGCTCTCGTTGCATCACCCGCTTGGTGGCTCTGTTGTATCGTCAAAGAGCTATCCGCGCTACAATTCACTGACGCTGCAGTTCTTGACAATATCACCGGCACCGCGTACGACGCAGGGCACTCCTGCCGCGTTGACAAATCGGCACCGATGCGCGACGTCTTGCTGCTCGAATCGTGCCGCGCTCCGGACTTGTTCGCCCCGTGACGCCGTGACCGCTCTGGCCTGGTCTGCCGCGGTGACGTCGCCTCCTTGGGGATACTTCCGGAGGACGGGGAGACCAATCGGAGGCGTAATTTTCAAGGATGGTGGTGGATTTCTTGTTGTTTGTTTCGACACGCCAACGGTGTTGCCCTCTCACAAGTCGCTCTCGAGTACTGCACATCAAGGACCGAGCGAGAGAGAGAGGGGGGGGCGGGGTGTACTATTAGTCGTGCATGCCGTGTCGTTAGACCATTGACCTCACATCCCTATAAAGCCGGGACAGAGCACGCCGGGTTCTCAACGGACCAGGCTCTCACATCACCAAGCGCGAAGGGCCGTGAGATATTCGGCGAGTCGCATGAAGGATGCGCTGCATCCTGCTTCGAGTGTTCGGCATCTTGTGCTTACTTCCTTGCGTACGGATGACAGCTGCGTATGACTTTATTTTCTGGTGCTTTCACTTCCAGAGACAGTTGTAAGCACTGAGTAACTGCCTCGAGGGTGCATGACCATTTTAACACAACGTGGTGCGGTCATCCCCCTTGTGCGGAGTGAGGCTTCTCAACCCCGCACAACATGATCTACTCGACCACCATTATGGCTGCCGCCAAAAAAATACCATGTGGAAAAAAGGGNTTCTCCACCCCGCACAACATGATCTACTCGACCACCATTATGGTTACCGCCAAAAAAATACCATGTGGAAAAAAGGGTTTCGTCCTCAACAGACGTTGGGGAGTTTCAACCTTTATGAAGTTGTTCTCCACATTACCCCCCCCTTTTTCGAGGCTTCTTCTTGTTTGCTAGGCAAGAGAAGTCTTCTTGGGTAACCGGAACCCGACCGGCTGGCGGCGAGTAGAATCACTTTTTTCCAACAATCTTCTGTGCGTGTGTGCGGGTACACCACTTCCGCCACGCATCGCCAGAAGTTTCGAGTTCGATAGACAACAGTGCATCGTTTCTTGGCCCACCCACCGTTTTTCTTTTTCCGTACTCCAAAAGAAAATTAGTTGAGCAGCGGGTGTTGAACCCGTGTCTTTCGCAACCAAAAGCAGACACCTGATATCTCTTCGTCGACGCCATTATGGAAAAAAGGATGTCGTCCTCAACAGACGATGGAGAGTTTCAACCTTTATGAAGGTGTTCTCCACAACCAGAGGTACATAAAAAAACGGTAACCTGGTTGCCGAGTTCGCGAAGTAAATGGGCTTGTTGTACAACATCGTTGCCAAGTGAGGATAACCGAATCCCGATGGCAAACACCGAAGGGGGGGTGCACTCATAGTCGTGCATGCCGTAGTCGTGAGACCATTGAACTCGCATCCCTACGAAGCCGGGACGGAGCACGCCGGGTTCTCACCGGACCAGGCTCTCACATCACCAAGCGCGAAGCGCCGTGAGGTGTTCGGCGAGTCGCATGAAGGGTGCGCTGCGTCCGGCTAAGGGTGTTCGGCATCTTGTGCTTACTTCCTTGCGTACGGATGACAGCTGCGTATGACTTAATATTGTATATTCTGGTACTTCACTTCCAGAAACAGTTGTAACTGCCTCGAGGGTGCTTGAGCATTTAAACACAACGTGGTGCGGCCATCCCCCTTGCGCGGAGTGAGGGTTCTCCACCCCGCACAACATAATCCACTCGACCACGATTATCGTTACCGCCAAAAAAAGCAGAGGTATACATAAAACGGTAACCTGGTTGCCGAGTTCGCGAAGTGAATTGGCTTGTTATACAACGTCGTTGCCAAGCGACGAAAACCCAA